AGCTACAGCTCTAGGTGTACCCTCTAATCCTTCCAACCAGAACTCGGCGTTCTGACAACTCCCGAGCGGTCTCGTCGCCTCCCGTCACTCAGCTTCGCAGGGCATATACAAGACGGCGCGCATGTGTCCGCCGTCCAGTACCTCGGCATTTTTCGCCTGTGTGACAAGGGCTATTTGGTCGCTGAAGGCCTATGAAGCGTAAAGTGTGACGAGTCTCGGGCATATCATTATCGCTCCGCAACAAATGAGAACGCGGTATTAGCGTCGAAGATCTAATCACGAAGCAAGAAGTCCAAACATTAGAAGCCACCCCCCCCCCCTCCCCCCTTCCCCCGCGTTTAACTTCAGTGACTCTATATCGACCCCAAACAATATGGTGCATGGAACGCTGGAACGCGTCTCCGACTGGTGTGTTTAGCGCCCGCCCAAACAACAAAAGTGCTGCCGAAGTGAAAACAAATGACGTCACGCTGTCGGACGTCGCGATCCTGGCGGTTGGTGGTCGTAGAAATGCTGGCGAAAGAGCAAGAGCGAACGCGAGTGTCGCTGTCGTAACTGCCTCCCAAACCCCTGGCTTCCGATGGTATACCGTGGACTGTCTCAAGACCGGAGAGAGCGACCGGTACCGGAAACGGGCGTCCGCCACATACACCACCTCTGCTGGAACACCACCAGGATCGCGACACCAGCGACATTGTGACACATCTCTGACGTCACGAGGCGGAAATCGAGGGACCACTTTGTTTGGACGCGGTAGACGCACCAGTCGGAGAGCCTTTCCAGGGGCGGGACCCAGACAAACGTCACAACTGAACTTCGGTCGGAATCAGGCCCAGCTTCTCAAACCGCCTCGGGAATGGGAAGGACAAGTCTTCATCATTTAGTTGCCCCCGCACCCCCTTATTATTAATGTGCTTGTGTCTCATATATTGTCTATAGAGATCTCTGTAGTAAACGTCCCAGTCCATTTTTTTATTTTTTTTATTTAGTGTTTCCCTTTTATAAACCCGGTTAAACGACAAAAATGTTAGCTCCGTAGTTTTTGCCACCTGGAGTAAAAAAAAAAAAAAGAACTCCGTTGTTTTTCATTCCTTTCATAATTTTTCAACCACGAGAATTAATAGGAGCCCTTCGAGTATCCGACACATCTCCTGGCCATGATACATGGGCATGGGGCACGCAATCTTTTCAGAATGAACGGTTTCTCAAAACTCTTCGAGAAAGGAAACAAAAAGTAATGAAAACGCAAGAACAAAAAACAATGTATGTTCTAATATTGTCCGCTTTTTTTTTTTTTTTTTTTATGTGAATTGCACTCGACATCTAGCCGCGCAAAAGTGGTGCTGAGTTTAAGTAATACGCCCAATCGGCCACTCACGGCTTCGCGTTCGCGCGCAAACGTACATTTGGAAAAAAAAAGAAACCAGACGAACGAGAAGTGTGGAACGGACGATGGATGTAACTGATCTGACCCATTCGAATCGGGTGGCAGCTTGCGCCATCTATAGCCACTGTTTTTTGTTTTTTTTTCAGCGGGTAGTTTATTTGTTAAGTAAGCCCTCACTTGAGAACAAGTAGAACACGTGGAATGAGTAAACCTCAAGGTGGTATTGGCTGAAGTCTTTGAAGCCTACATTATGGACTTGTGTTAATACCCTTTGAATCCTGTACGCAGGGTCGCTAAACTCGTTAAACACAAAGTTGGGAGCCGAGGTTTGCGAGCCTGCTGATTGGATCCTCGCGACGGTGGTCGACGAGAGGCCAGTCACCCGAACACTCGAGGTCGCTCAAATTCCAGCGAGGTTGTGAAACACAAAGTCGTTGTGAACTTTGTCGGAGCGCGCAAGCAACACCGTGGGGCCGGCCGATTGACAGGCTGCACCGATGACGTCGCGCCTGTGTGTCCCTACATCCCTACGCCGCGCATGAGTCAATGCTGTCTAGATTGTCCCTAGGCGGGCTGTAAATACTCTGAACGTTCTCGCCGCAAGATCGTCCTTGGAGGAAGTTATTGATGTCGACAAAGTGACGTTTCACAACTTCGGGATAAAGTTATTTGAGACCCAAATCTTCGCTTCGGAATCGAGGCGAAGATTGAACTTCGTGACATTCTGGAGTCGTGCACAGTGTACGCAGTTTCAGAGCTCATCATCCGCCACTGACAACAACGCTACCAAAGTCACCGAGAGGCGGTGTGGGTAGTGCGGGTGGGGTGTCGGTAGTCTTTGAAAGATAAAAAAGTGACGGAGGATGGCGAAAAAAAACGGGTGAGTGAAATAATGCCAAAAAGCAAAAAAAAAAAAAGGGTGTACGTTCCTTGAACAAAGGTGGCAACAAAAACGACTCTATTACCAAAGCAATGAAAAAAAAAACGAATTATAAAGCCAAACACGTAAGAACCTCTCCACCACCGCAAGAACCGTTATAATGGCCAAAAACGATGAAGACCAATAACATCGATAAAACAGCAAGTATTACATTTAAACATGCCAAAAAAGAGCCCTTTTTGTGGAGAAAAAAAAGACGGTTTGGGTAACGACCCATCCGAATCAAAACGTCCCCTAAACAGGAGACCTGAACGTGTATACGGATTCAGGCAGCTTTCCTCTCACTGACACTGCGATGGGAGCCACGCGATGGCCGAACCAATCGACCAAAGCCTTCTTCTCATTCCGCTCCCGGCACGTGGGCATGCGTCGGAGCACGATCCCGTGCCGAAGACTGGTTCAGCGAGCGCCTAGTTTCTTCCAGCACACTGTCGGCGTAGGGGTGCACGGTGGATATACGGTGAACCCCCGTTGGAGCCCCAATTTGTCTACACACCCCGCCCTGCTCCGACTCGGAGGAGGCAGACAAGGTCCGCAGCTTGTCTGCATCTTGTTTGCTCGTTTGTGAGTCCTTACCGGCGGTTTCTTCGAGGCACGGATTTTCCGAGACGTTTAACAACCGCCTACCTGCTCCGGCTTCCGATTTGCAGCAACTGCACCTTTTTTCTTGTTGTAATGATATGCTCCAAGCTTCCTTTTGTATAGTTCTAGGCTTGTTTGTGTGTTGTACCAGGAAGTGTTTTTTTTTTTCTCTCTCCTATTTTAGAGCATATCTATATTACAACATTCAAGCGCTTTTTTTATTATTATTATTCCGTAACCCTGCGCACAAGGCAAACAAGGCTTATGCGGGAAACGACATCTGTTTGTAGAAACTGAGACGAAAGAAAAATATATTTATTCGCTGATTTATTGATTTATTTACACTTCCTCGAGATGTCTAATCTGCTGCCTTATTATTAGAAAAAAAATCACAAATATTTGAGCGTGTTTAAGCAAGAACTTCAGAATAATGCCAGTCACAATTCTGCTTGTACTTTGTAAGTACTTTCTGACTTATAACCCATAAGAGGCATCTGCTACCTCCAGATACAATTTCTTGCACGCAAAAGCAACTCATGTTCAAGTTTGTTCATTTTTACAGCTTTTTAATGGCGACGCATTCGTCGCATTTCAAGAATACAATTATTCTGAGCCCTGTTTCGATGCGTGTCCCCCAAAAGTTGGGATGCTGCAACTTCAAAATCAAATAACTATTATAATTATTCTCCCGATTAATTTTCTTCGCAAGTTATTCATTCGTTGGAAGATATCGGCCTTCATGAAATAAAGAATGCACAGCAATGAAAACTAGCGCTGGGCAATTGATGCATTAACCTTCGGATTAATCGATTAAAGTTTTAATTCGCGGTAAACGTTTTTAACCGGTTAATCATTTAAGTTATGATTTCGAAATTCCGCGGAGAAAGGGAAAATGCTTTATTTTCTTGTTGGCGCTCATTTATGCACTTTAGGGGGCCGGATTGTTGTACTCCACGGAAGAACACAAACATGCCCTACGATTGTAACTATTTTAGACAAAGTACTGTACAAATATTTTATTATTAAGATATTTTACCCGTGTTTCCTTATTGTCGGCGTTAGAGCTTCAAGTGAAGCTTCATGCCACCATAAAAAGCATAGCAAAAAAGATTTTAAAAAATAGTGTAATTCTGACATATTAGTTTTAAATTATGCCTGAAGGTCAACGCAACCGATTAATGGATTAAATAATCGATTAAAAGGTAGAGACTTATCGGGTTAGAATTTTCAGTCGACGCTCAACAATAAGAAAATGCCGCTGCGAATGCCTCCTCCCCTAACACATTCAAACGTGCGTGTTATCTAGAGTTGCTATTATCATTAATCTCCCAACAGACATTTTTGTCAAGTTATTTAGTCGGTGTAACACATTGCCCCTTATGATATAAAGGATGCACAGCAATGAAAACTTAACTGCGAACATCCGCTACACATTCAAAGTTCTTAGTCACGTGGTGTTGTGATCAGTGCAGCAATACAGGGACCACTATACTCAGTTCAGTGCTAAGCTGGCAGAGTCGTGAAAGCTACACACTCGCAAGAATACCCGAGAGTCGGTCCTTTGCCACGCGTGCTCACATGCACACTCTGTGCAAGCGCGTGCAGGGCGAGTGGAGTCACGTGACCACAGTCTCGGCGATTGATGGGTCCGGCGATCACGCGGCTTCCGACGCCCGGCACGGCTTATACGTAAACGGAACATTAACCAATGAGCGGCTCTCACGTCACGCCGCTGTGGGGGCGCTGCTCTCACCCCCAACTTTTCTCCACCAAACCCCCCCCCCCCCGAGAGCCAGTGACAAACGCGCCAGGTGCGCATCTACTATTGGCCCTGTCTTCCCCCCCCCCCCCCCCCCACCCCCCCATCTTATTCACAACGCTTACACGCCACGGCGTCAGCGCACGAGCGTCACCTCACATCTTGTGTCTGCGGACGCGAAGTGCCATGCACCTGCTGTGGGCAATCGTGCCTGCTTTTGTACGCAAACAACGCGTATATCACCGTGTCGCAGAATCGGAAATCGCGACTGGGTGAAAATAACCTTTAAGCGAGGCTTATTAACACGTAACTTCAGAAAACAGAAAGGATACGAATATCTGGTCCTCGAGGTAGCGCTTGCGCAGGTTGTCGACGATGGATTCTTCGCTGACCTTGGGGAGCAGCACCATGTCGTCCACACCACTGGTGCGGTACTGGTGGCTCTGCCAGTGGTACACCTGCGAAGAGAGAAACACGGGGTTTTGTTGCGGAGCTCGTGAAATTTCAAAGGAGCGCACATGCAATTCTGAAAACTCAATCGCGTAAGAATTCCAGCTGCGGCTAAGGAAGGTATATTGCGAACCGCTCCACTTTACACTCTAAGCAACCTGGAGTGTCCACTTTCCCTCAGCGCCTCTGAGAGATCCAGTCACTGCAATGTACAAAGGCCACTCGGCCAATGACGAGGCTGTAAATGTAGTCTCAACTGTGACATTGAGCATAGTAAACCGTCATGCCCAGTTTCAAAGCGCAGACTCTCCTTCTAGGTCTGAAATACGAAGATATTGCCTTCACAACTTCGCCAAACTCACTTTATTTCGCTGCACAAAGCCGATTCCTACCCTGATTGGCCCGATGTACGAATCTTTCCGACGAAATTATTAAAAGACGATGTTCATTTAGCAACATTTGGTTAATTTTTGTTCAGGCAGTGATTTTTTACCTACTCCAAAATGATGGAGAGGGTTAAAGTAATCACAAATCTCGCGCACGTTCAATCTAAACAACAATTATAGTCCAACTTTGTAATTCGGTACAGGAGAGCAAATGAGCTCATTTTCGCAGGAAGACCACTGTCCGAAAAAACTGGCTCGCTTATTATCGCCGCACTACGTCAGTCAGTCATACCACAAAATCTGCCTCAGATTAAATCAAACATTCACGAGCGGTTCATACATATCATTAAGTAGACCGATTGCTAAATTACACATACACAAATAAGAATGCTGTAAATGAAGGTACGCGCTCACCTTCCCCGCATAAAAGATTCGGAGTAAATCACCAAAACAAGGCGCTGACGAACGCGCGTGCAAGATGCCATTTTTTGTAGGCTTTTGTTTTAACGCAGTTATCTCTGCAGCCGCCAGTACGTACGGCGCGTACACACTAAGAAATGCCTGCGCCTCTACTTACCCGCATAACACTCGAAGAGCCAATCTCTGCGATTTACGAAATCAGCTCAGCGAATGTAGACGCTATGCATTGCCTACTGCCACAGCGCAGACTTCATTTTTAAGTCTAAAGTTTAAGTCATTTGCTGAGCTGATTTCGTAGATCGCAGAGATTGGCTTTTCGAGTGTTTTGCGGGTAAGTATAACGCGGAGGAATTTTTTAGAATGTGGACCTACATTCCCAGCATTCTCCTTGATCCTTGGGCAGCTTAGCAATGGGTCTATTCATAAAAAGTATTCGTGACAGTTGTTAAAATTACTTATTTAAACAACCTTAAAGCCTATAGACAGCATACGGTGTGGCAATAAAATTGGTAAGTACAGCTCTAAACCCCCAAAAATGTTGGCCGAGTTCGTAGTTCTTGCCTATACAGGGTGTTTCAGTTAACTTGCGCCATTACTTAAAAAAAAAAAAAAAAGCTGGAGCACAAACAAACTCGTTTAATATTCCAACGTGTTGAATCAACGCAGCATTGTTCACCGTCTTGCTGAGCAAGTCAATATATATTTTTGGCGACGGGCCAAACTGGGTAATTAACGTAGATGAATTAGGCAACTTTTTTTAAATACTAGTTTGTGGGCAAACCCTCTAATACAGAAGTTGTCGAGTGTGTTGAAAAACATCCCCATCCTCTCGTTTCCACCAGGTAGATTTTCTCGAAAAGCTCGAGAAAATTATACACAGAAAGATTACGCGACAAGATGTCTCTCAACATGTTCTACGACCTTTTTATAGGAGGGTTTTCGCGCACAAATTAATATTTAAAAAGCTAGCTAATTATACTCCGTCAATTACCTAATTCGGCACATCGCAAAAAAAAATATGTCGACTTGTGCAATAGGATTGCGACCACGCCTAGCGGGCACCAGCTATTTTAAAGTCTTGACGCAATTAAGTTAGCATATTCTGTATTCGCTCTTACGATATTCAATCACCATGTCAATATTGCATCCTTTTCTCGGATCCAGTCGCTTTATAAAGATGTCGCCACTCTCCGGATCTCGACATCTGCGGCCTCTGGATTCTGTCACCTGGTGATTCGCGTCTTACTAATTTTAATTTCGGTGTTTTGACTTATCTTTGTATTAATGTGTCTTGAGTCACAGTGTGATCATGTAAACTTTTGTTTCTTACTTATAACTCTTTCGTGAAGGAACTCCACTATAAAAACCATTGTAGTTGTCTTGGAATGATGATAATAATAATAATAATAATAATTATTATTATTATTATTATTATTATTATTATTAAATTGATTCTTGATTATTGACCATAGCTTTTTATGTTTCATGTGCGAGACTGCCGCAATGGAGATTTTGTTTTAATTGTCGGCACCGTGAAGTTCATTGTATTTCTTTCTGTAATGTATTGCATCCTCGTGTATCTCTTTGAAGCAAAATAAATAAAAAAATACAAGATTGCGTCATTAGGCGTCTAATGAATCGGCTCTCCAGACAAAAATAATCAATGTAGGTTCTTGCGAGGCAAAGGCTTCTCTTTTAAACCGCGGTAAATTGCGCAAAAGGTGGCATTTTAATTGAGTATGCGCTGCCGTCCTACTATCGGAACCTCCATTAAGAACCGGACTTCCCCGCGGGCCCTGATCAATTTAAAGTGCGGCTTATATTTATTTATCAATATCCGAGTAAAACTTTGGTTTTGTGACTATCTTCCTATTTCCTATTTTCTACTCCTTTCTCTCTCTCTCTCTCTCTCTCTCTCTCTCTCTCTCTCTCTCTCTCTCTCTCTCTCTCTCTCTCTCTCTCTCTCTGTCTCTAATGTCCAGCTCTTATGTCTTATGTTCGTATACAACGCTTGACTTCTCTCAGAGACAGGTTTTTCTTTTGCGACTAAGGTGTTCTATTTTGTGAGAAGGGTCGGAAAGCTGGAGTACAGCCGGTATTTTTCAGAGACAGTGGTTACTCTTGTGGTCCGAAACTGTTTACTCGACATAACCATTTTCCCTTTTCAAAAGCACGCCTCATCTGGTAGCCGCTGCGCCAATAATACGAGTCGACCATTGTGTGAGCACCCACTCTCAGCATGTATTGCGCTCGTGCATAATGAATGGATGGATCGATGAATGCCAATAACTGTACCTGTTATAACGGGCGATAGCCTACGCCACCTAGCCTAGAGACCAAAAGTATGATTCATCCCCTCACCCTCCTGAGCCGATTTGCTCCCCCTCTGCATTTTTCTAACTATCCCCAGGCGGTGTGAGATATCGTAAGGAGGACCCTTGGGGGACCGAGCGAAAAAGCTAAACCCCCCCCCCCCCCCCCCCCACTTCTCCCGGCGAGGGGGTCTCCAATTTTCCTCTGGTCAAACCTAGCCGTCGGCGTCACCCAAACACGTGGCCCAGTGGGAGAAAGGGTTGATACTTTTGGGCAGGAGCCACGCGGGAGGGAGTCCCAATTTTCCTCTGTCCCGCCTGTCTCCCTTTTTTCTCCGTCCCGCTGGTTAGTTTTATTTCATTTAATTTTCACACGGATGATTTCCTCCACTCTTTTAACCCCCTTTTTTGCGACTGCCATTGTTTCTTGATGGGATTTTGAAAAGGATCCATGAGAAGTTAATTAAAAGCTTTTAGTTAATTAGCGCAGCGATCGTGACGCCTATCCTGCAGAATAATGTACGCCGATTCAAGAAAGAGATGGCAAAGACAACTATCAACATAGGACAAAACTCTGAGTTAAATTTTTTTTTCATAGAAACAAAGAAATATTATTATACTGTGTGACATTTTTTTTTATATATATATTTAGTCGTCTTGCAAAAGCGCGAATAGGTCCCCTGAAAGCAGGACAGGTGTCGCCATCTAGCAGCCCAGTTGGATTCTACAAATGGCCTGCACGTGAAAGCATTTCAAGTTTTCGGTTGTTGTTTCTACGTGTTGCTTGCTTTAAAGCACCGATTTTACCGTACAAAATTAACACAGTAGCAAGAAGCCATGCGGCCGACTATATCAGTATGAATGCTCTGTTTTGCCGTGTTTGGTTTCAGCCACCCCGCATTAGCTCTTACTACTTTCCAGAGGGTTCAGTTGACATCTGTATGTGACAAATCCCCGGCTTGAATTGAATGGAGCCTGATGACAGAACTGTGTCCAGGTGAAAAAGGTTCAACGACCACCCGCAGCTAGTCCTCTGGTGTAGCTAATTATTATTTTATATATAGTTTTAATATTTGAACACGTGGACTATACAGCATGTTAATTTTGTTCCAGATATGTCGTATTGATCGAAATCGATGGTGTACGTTTCACGTACTGAGTGAAATATGAAACGTTAGTCTATTTAAGGTGTGCGCCACCTATAGAGGGCGCGCCACTCCGCCTTGGCAGCTGGTTGGCACCGCCACCATGTGACAGCGTCCATGTTGCACCGCATAGTGAAGCGCTATGCAGAGTCATATACAGAGAGAGTTTGGCCATTCGTTGGGTAGTATAGGAAGCAAATGGGGAGGCGCCATTGGCCGAAAGCGGGCTGGGCGCGTCCCAAGGCGTCTTCGCAAGTTCGAATGTGACCAACCAGAAGCAGGACATAATACCCTGGCGGTGGTCGCGAGAAACGAAATTAATAAGTGCGTCGGAGTAACTCTCAGTGACTGAAAATATCGTGCACGTGATGTTTCAATCACAGTCATCCAAAATCATGGTGGAAGAGCGCGACCCGCGGAACGATCGACACAATCCGTACGCCAGGCCCCGAGGGCCGGGAATCTGCCATCCGAGCGGTCACATTCTGTCCGAGCAAAACAGAGTTTGAGCGGCACGATCGTTTCTTACACCTTTTTGCATGATCATAATAGAAGCATCACGTACACCATATTTTCAACCATGGACCCTATAACCCCTATACTGTTAAGACCGGTTATAAAGAAGTTGGTTATAACGAAATAGCGGCTACAGCGAAGCGATCACGATTTTCCGTTCTCTTTTGCACTTCGTTAACCGAAGTCGATTATAACGAAATACCGAATATATCGAGGTGATTTCTGAATT